TTTCTGTCGCTTACGGGTGAATTCACAAGCATGTTCAGAACAGTTGGTGCCCCACTCATGTGTGTGACCTTGTGCTCTGCTATGTTTTCAAATATGTTTTTTGGATAAACCTGTCTGAGGCAAATGCTGGTGCCACCAAGTGCTGCTAGACCCCAAGTCAGGCACCATCCGTTGCAGTGAAACGTTGGGACGGTCCAAAGGTAAACAGGCCATGAACTCATCTCATGAAGCAGAAAGGTAGCAATGGTATTAAGATATGCACCTCTGTGACTGTAAACAACCCCTTTGGGTCGCGATGTTGTTCCAGAAGTATAGTTAACACTAATAGGATCAAATTCACTTGTTGGCCACCTTACAGAGAATTCGCTATTACCACTTTCCAGGAGGCTTTCATATTCGTAAGAATTCGAATTAACAATAGTATGATAAGAATTGTTAGATTCAGAGATCACAACAAGAAGAGGTGGTGTTACTTTTTCATTAGCAAGAATATCTAATGCTCCTTGAGCAAGTTGCAGCAAGTGTTGATCCACAAATATTACCTTTGTATCAGAATGTTTCAGAAGTACTGATAACATAGCTGAATCATGACGGGTATTCAATGTACAAATAACTGCTCCAGCCATTGGTACTGCAAAATGTAGCTCTTGCATTGCATATACATTTCGAGCCAATGTTGCAACCTACACAAACAATTTCAAAATCTATGAAAATGACAGAGTAAACCATTTAAATTCACATCGACAAGATTGGGTCCGACTCTGATACAGAGTATAGCAAGTGGACCTAACTTAACCTCAAAAGCTAGATTCTAAGGGAACAATTGCCCCAAGTACATATAACTAGACCAAAGGACTCATCTCCCACCAATGAGATGAACTTTCTCTATGATGCATGATAATTATTCATTTCTATTAATCTAATAACAATCTTATACATCATATTTTCTTTCGAGTTTAACCAAATTTTAATAATTTAAAAATAAACAGTGTTAAAAAATCAATATAGAACACAATGAACGGCTACATTTATTTTTAAAGATATCAAAAATATTTTATAACATAAAGAACAAGAGATAAACCTAATAATTACTTGAAACCTAAAAGAACAAGAAGATTGAGTTATTTCAATAAAATAATAGTACTTGACAAGAAAGAGATCATAAAAGCTACAACCTGTCATCCATAAGTAAAAATAAATAAAAATGAATCCTCAATAATAGTTATATTATTTTTTGGTAATTATAATAGTTGTATTAAAGATCCCCAATTTAGGATCACAAATAAATCTATACAAATTTTAAAAAGTAAGGTTATATAAAATTTTCAAATATAATGTGGGCACGCAATGTGTGTCCGCGTTAGCTTTTTTTCTAATGAATAATCACCGTTCAATGTCTTTTGCTGATCTAGTTTACAAAATAGCTAGATATTTAATAGAGGTGTATTTGGGATTTCAGTAAGATGGGTGCATGATTACCAAAAAATGCATCTTAAATATAAATTTTATCGGTTTGACTTTTAGGTTCTTAATATGAACCATTAAATTTTAAAAATTATAGGTCAAAAATATATAATACTACTAGTTTTAAATTTTAATATACACATTTAATTTAATTATATAAAAAATTTACCGTGCTATAAAAATTATAGATCAAAAATATATAATACGACACCCTCTCTAGATACGCCCTAGCTAGCAAATACTATAGAAAAAAAATATGTGCGGATTACATGGGATTTTTCCTATTACCCATCAATTATAATTGCACAACTTAATCCCACTACGCAATGCCTACCCCATACATAGTTGCTGCTCCATTCTACCCAATGGTCTAAGACATAGCATTATAAATGCTAACTTGTTGGTGTTCTCCGCCTATGTAGTACAAAGTTATCTATGATATTACACCGGTTCGATTTGATTATTTTTAAAGTTAAATTAAATTAATTGAGTCATTAAAATACAATTTAGATATTTATAAATTACACAAAAAGTACTATAAAGTCATCCATATTAATATGGTAACAAATATTTCTTAAAATATTGGCTAAAGTTCATGTACGTAATATAACTCTTAAAAAACGAAACGTGACAACTATCTATATATTTAAAATAAATCATTCTCACCCAACATATCATGAAAATTTTATACTTACATTTTCTATAAGATAATATCCATAACTAAGCATATTAAACGTAGAGAAAATTTTAATTATACATACAAAGCTCTTATAAATAAATATTTTAAATTATAAATATATTTATAAGTTTAATGTGCAAGAAAGTTATAATCAATAATTGATAGTATATCTTAATAGGTATTTGTGGTATTTATAATTTTAATAGGTATTTGTGGTATTTATAATTTTAATAGGTATTTGTGGTATTTATAATTTTAATAGGTATTTGTGTTAATAGGTATTTGTGGTATTTATAATTTTAATAGGTATTTGTGGTATTTATAATTTTAATGTATCTTTTAACAATTATATTTTAACATACTTTTACTTGATTATATATTTGCAAATAAATATCATTTAATAACTTATAATAGAGATATTATATCATTTTTAATGCTTGTAAAAAAATAATATATCAATTGCATATACAAGTAAAAATTATTTATTTATCATTTTATATAATTCTATCAAGAAAGCAATTAAATTTCACATTCATAAGGTATAAAATCTTTTTTTTCTACTTAAAAATAGTGCTTGACTTATTCAAGAATACACAATTTAATATAAAATAATATTGAATCAAAATTGATTATATTTATGATAGATATTTTTTTGTTAGATAAATAACTAGCCATATAATTTTATTTTTTTTATCTTTCAAATCAAAAAATAAAATGAAAAAAATGGCATAATTGATTTTTAGTGAGATTAAATATAACCAGATATAAGTTAAAAATATTGATTCTGACATTTGTGGTTATGTTCCAATACCGTATTAAATTTATATGATCGTAAAAATGATTTAACATAAAAGTAAAGTAAATATTTAACAAGAATTTCATTTTAATGTCATTTTCAATTTTTATATTATTATAATTTTTAGTTTTGGTAAATTTATTTTTAAGAAAATATTTCTCGAGGACTCCAAATTTTTATAAAATCCCTAGATTCCAAGAAAATATTTCAATTAAATTATATCAAAAAAAAAACTCAAATATTATTTCCAAGTAAATTCCTCAAAAAATCTCCAACAAAATTTACAATTATAAATTCCCTAAGTAATTCTTCAAGTAAGAAAATTTTCAAGTAAATTTCTAAGAAATAAATCCCCAACAAAATTCGTAAAACATGAATTCCCGGATAATACCACATATAAAAATATTTCTAGATAAATTTTCAAGTAATTATTCTTAGCTAAATCTACAAATAAGTTTATTTAGGGATTTTCTCGCAAACAGATAAAAAAGATTACTTTTTTTCATTACTTGCGAATTTACCTATGAATATGATATTTGCAAATTATTTTCTCCAAATAATTCCTTAGGTAATAGTTTTGCGAAAATGACACCAAATTTACCCATCAATTTTTCTAGAAAAATATTTTCCGCCGATAAAAAAGTCATTTCCGTATGAAAATTCATAGGAAATTTCCTCAAGTAAAATTTGCAGATAATTTAAAGTTTTCTAGTAGTGATATATATTTCGATCAAATTGATAAATAAGTTGGTACACACTTCATTTTTAGTAATGTTAATGAGTTGGAATTTAGAAAAGCTTACCATATCCCCACGAGAAATGCCAAGCTCAGACAAAGCAGAAGCAAGCTTTATGCATCTATCATATGTCTCTTCCCAATTATACTTCACAGAAGTTCCATCAATAATTGAAGTTCTTCCTCTAAACGCATTTGCTGCTCTCTCCAAAAAACTTATAGGTGTCAATGGAACATAGTTTACAGCTGAACATTTAAGTAAACCCTCCATAGATCCAGTTTGTAGATCCATCGATACCTGCATGCACATATAATGGCGAGCCCTCTGATTACTTGTGGCTTGAATTTGTACTGAATTTATACTACATATAAAATTTCTTGAGTAACTCATGATGTAGCTGGTAATGGCGTTCGCTCAGAAAAGTAATATTGAAGATTAACACAATGAAGCAATTTGAGAAATTCACAATTTAATAGCAAAGTCAAGATAAGATTATATTACAGTTGGCAAAACAAAGAAAATTTGAATTAAAGTATTTGCTATTTCTTGATCGTGATGGTAATGACCAGTATTATAAAGCAGCAATTAAACCTCAAACGTGGGCTGAACCGGATATGTTGGGATTTTGCAAGCCATAAGTCAACCAGTGAGTTTATGTAATCTATGCATTACGTTTCACCAGAATCAAATGAGAAAAACTTACCAGAGATTATGGTAGAATGGTAAATACTCCTTCATTTTAAACTAAGAAATCTCGAGTTCGAGTTTCCTTGAGTACCAAGTCGCCTTGTTAGGAAAGCTTTACCCTAATGTGGGACTTCCGGCACAAATCCAAATTTAGCTCTCGAGGAAACAAAAAAATGAGAAAAACTTTGCGTGAATAAACCCTTACATCACTATTTTTTATGTCTCGTTTTAAGCGAAGCGGCAATATTGACTTGAATTATAAAACCATAACTAGAATTATACAAAAATGCAGTGATTAAAACCACTATTTCCCCATTTAATTAATTAAAATATCAGAAAAGGTGCATCTTAGATTTGGTCTTCTCTTGAAGTGGGAAATAGCGAACACAAACAATAACAAAAGGGATAAAAAGGGTCAGGTACGAATCACCAGTCATTTCATTAACCACGGAAAAATAATTATTTAAAAAACAAAGGAATGAAATGACAACGAAAGAGAGAAATAAAGAAGAGATTCCACTACACATGGCAGAATAAAATAAAAACAGATCTCAAATAAATAAATGAAGAAGAAGAGGGCATGTGTTACCACTACTCACACAGAAATAAAAAATTAAAATATCAAAGTTCAGAGAAATTAAACACAAAAAAATAGGTCACAATATATCACCACGAAGCAAAATTCCTTCAAGTAATATGGACAAAGCAAAAAGTGATCTTTTACAGGTTCTTATGCACAGGGCACGGACAGCAGTCATGCATCCATTTTGAATTATTAACCAATGACAAAGATAATTAGAATTGTAGCAGCAAAAGTTAAAACAAAATTGCAGCTGTGCAAAAAATAGGCCAAGTAGATCTCTGGACAGTGAATAATTCTCCTAAAAACTTGACGAGTGTCATTGCTGATTAGTCTAAAGCAGCTATAATTGCATCAACAACTTCTTGGGTGGTGCTATCCCCTCCAACATCCTTTGTCCTGAATTTTCCCTCTTCTATTACATGTCTTACAGCAGTTTCTAAACGATCAGCAAATGACGGAAATTCAAGATGTCTCAGCATCATTGCTGACGACAGAAGAAGTGCCACTGGATTTGCTTTCTTAAGCTTCAATATCTTTTCGTTGCCGACATTCCCAGCTGAAGCACCTTGCTCAAAAACTGCTTGATCGGCGCCAACATTACCTGAGAAAACAACAGTCCTACATTATGTCTCATACACTGCCTAATACTTGAGGAGGAAACGTTGAGAATATTCTAATTGTTCCCTGAGAAACACTATAAATGATCTGTAGAATAAACAAGGACGAGGCATTTAATCTTTCTTCCAACAAATAAAGTGTGAACAAGTACTGATGAGCATAGTGGTGATGTCTCGCGAGAAGTAGCAAGCACTCACAAAAAGGGTTCTACTGCATTTTGTTAAAGTATTAGCAACTAGTCTGAGCTGTCCCATATAAGCAAAACGGCATTAACCAATTCAGGAACCAACCAGTGAACATCTCATAATCAAATAGATATCATTATACTGGAAGCTTCTTTATCAACACTTCTACTCACAGTCATGGAGGAGGGGGGAAGAAGCGATGTAGAGGCTTGAGGTCAAGCATCACAATTGTTCACCCGCACCAGCCCCAATGGGAAGTTGGAACTTACAAAGTCCTTTCATGAGATATTGAAACCACAAAAATAATTGACCAGCTGCATTTATATTGGACATGCTAACTGAGTAAGCCAACAGTAAAGTTTGGAAAAACATAAAGATACATCCAAAAGAAAAAGGTAATTGAGCTGCAGTAGTGAAATCCCACTAGTGGGGTTTGGGGAGGGTAAAGTATATGCAGACCTTACCCCCTACCTCATGGAGGTAGAGAGGTTGTTTCCGAAATATCCTCGACTCAAGGAATGCATATCAAAGAAGTATCGAAGAGAAAATACAAAGTAAAAAGGACATAGCAAATAATAATGAAAGCATTATATAGCATTTAACAACCGCAAAAAAAGAACAAAATAATGTGAAAACTGAGGCACAAGAAAAAACAGGTAGTAACAGAAATTGGAGGACAAGACACTATGCGGATAATGCTAATACTATCCACAGTGAAAATGTGTCGTTCACCTTAGTTACCCATGTTCTGAGCCTTCTCTAAACCTCCAACAAATGAGAGACCTAGGTTATGTGAGCTCCGGTTTTCAAATTAAGCATTTGCTACGATGACCTAATCCCTAGTGTACCAAAATTTCTTATATTGAAATTCTGTTATCCTCCTCTACTAAATTTTGTATGACTAAAGCTATTTTCTAGCCCTTAGATAATCAACCTCTGCAAAAGACTTCTCTGTTCTAACCTAATGTGCATAAGGTTGTCTAAATCTGATACTCTTGACCGTTGAATTTTCTGTAGTTAGGTTTATGTCTTCGCAGTCTGAGTCTGCTTAACCTATGGCATGACTGTGTCCGGCCTCCTTTTGCCTAGCACTAATCAAATGAGAACACACCGAGTAAGTGGTAGCTATACTTGTAATCTCAATCTGCAACGATTTCCACTACCTCTGCCTTGATTTCCCAGATCTAATGTCAATCAGGTTATACTGAAGTCCAACAGATGATGTGCCCATCCACTGTATTTCTTTTTCTTTTCAAGTACCTCAAGTTCTGTAAGATATGATTCTTCTATCCATTTAGAGAGTTTATTGGATCAATTTTCCATTCTTATTGCAGTATAGCTAGACTTAAGCTACCAAGAAATCAAACTACAAAGGAGTTTGTTCATTTAGCTGCCAGAAAGTTTAACAGGTCTAGATCACCAGAATTATGTTTGATGAAATGTGAGCTACATACTAGACGTATCTTAACTTAGTGAAAATATTAAGATCAAATTGTCATCTATAGACCAAAAAAAGACTGCTAATGCCAGCCAAAGTCAACAACTTAGCATAATAGAGAGATGTAAATAATTCAATATATATATATATATATATATAAATATATATTAGAAAATTTTACCTCCTGGCATGACTCCTGTGCCACCAGCTATGCCAGCAGCCGTATTTGCAATCAAATTTCCATAGAGGTTGGGAGTCACCTACATAATTGCAATTTGTTGTACTTCAGCAACAAGCTTATCAGCGATGCATCAAAATGAGGAAAGAGGTTAATAAAAAGAGGCAGAATAAAACACTAAAGCTTGCTTCTGGACCGATGCAGGAAAGCTGATGACTCGTAATCTACAAAACCCACCATGAGAAAGACATGGGGGAGATACCTGCCTTAGCTAATCTTAAATGTTTTTCCATCCATACTTTCTCAGTGATATCCTATTTTTCACAAGGTAAGCTTTTATAGATGTATGACAAGCAACAAGGGCATGCTGGAGCATTGAACCAGTTACAAGCTTCGGTCAGTTAAAACAGTGTGTGTAAGGAGTTAAAAAAGGTAAAGCACGGCCCCACATTCTGAGTAACATTTATATTTGCCATGTTATCCATAAAGAAAGCAAAAGTATACATTTAAATTTAAGACTATGTACATTCTCTTGTTTGTGTTAAAAAATATCCTCTCTCTCTGGGTAGTCCACCAAATAGCTGCCGAGATAGCATTCCATAATCCCCTTTCTCTTAAGTTGCACTGAGTGAGGCAAGCATTTTTTCCCACCAATCAAGCTCACTGATTCATACTAATAGTTTCTTATACTTCAATTATTGTATTATTTTGTTGTATTTTACTGTTCAGCATGCTTTGTTATACTTTCATATCCATTGCTTATTTTTCTGGATTGCTTTGATTTGTTTTTGCTTGAGCTGCGGGTCTATAGGGAACACCCTCTCTACCGCTGAGGTAGGGGTAAGGTTTGCGTACACTCTACCCTCCCCCTCCCCAGACCCTACTTTGTGGGACTACATTGGGTGTGTTGTTGTTGTAGTCAAGCTCACTGATCCATATTATTTACAAGAAAATCAAAGAGGTCGCTCGGAAATCCCAGGTGCAAGATTATCCAAGTTGTAGAAGGAGAAGGAAAAAGACTTTTAATATTTTTGCTGACATTGTCATTTGGACTTTGTTATTTCATCACATCACTTGTCCCGACCATTACCAGTAAGAACACAAAATAAAAGGTCAAAGTAGATGCTAGAGACACCCTGCCAAGGGTAGGCCCTTTGACTACGTAAGCAACTCTGTGAAGATACAGTTTCCAATATCATTTGTGTGTCATTAATCCATAGCCAAGTACCATATGAACTAGTCTCATAGCATCTTCAAGGAATTCTTGAACTTCAAAAGTCAAGCTAATTATCCAACTACACAAACAACAGACAGGACAAGCTCTCAGTATGCCCATCCTCTCCTCAATGACTACACAAGATTGATAGCACTCACCATTAGACTTCATTTTGTGATACACTTATCTGACACCATTAGATATCAGATGTATAAAGGAAGCTAGAATTTAAGGACTTAGTAAAGAGAAAAGACAAGGAAGCATATCCCCATACCATGACATCAAATTGCTCCGGCCTTGAGACAAGTTGCATGCAGCAATTATCCACAATAATCTCCTCATACTGTATTTCTGGATATTTAGCTGCAATTTCCCTACAGGATTCTAAGAATAGACCATCTGCAAGTTTCATAATGTTGGCTTTGTGCACAGCTGTGACCTTCTTTCTTTTGTTCACATCAGCATACTCAAACGCAAATTTTGCTATTCGTTCTGAGCAATATTTTGTTATCACCTGGAAAGGAAAACATGAAAGTATAGGATAAAGCAAGTTGTGGAACAGGAAAACTTTACAGACGATTCGATATAATAAGAACCACAAAGGAAAATTGGTGAAGAGAAAAAACAACTCCTTTTCTTAGCACAGTCAAGAAACGAGCATAATAAGAATATCATTAAACCACATAGGCTGAAATTGGTAATGTTACAAAAGAAAGAATTTTATAAAGAAAATATCACATGTCCATCTTGCTAAGCTGGCCCATTTCTCTAACGTTGTGACCAGGTAAAGATAAGCTCTAACTGTGCAATTCTTCCTCATGCACAAACCAAGATCAAACAGGTTCAACTGCAACTGACAATCCGTACACTTCACTCAAGATTACATCATCTATCAAGCATATTCTATAAATGGTAATAATGTCAAGGATACATAAAATGAAGAAGATATGCAATGCTTCTGAAAAATTGCACTCTCCAGCAGAAGGATGGAGCGCAAAAGGTACTCCCTATTTAATTAAACAATGTGCACTGTGCCCAACATGGGGCCTGCCATAGCAGCCATACTAACCTATTAAGGAATCAGTGCTTTGTTGTGCCCCCTACTGTCATACATAGGGCCTTGTGCACACTACCCAACAAAGGGGCTAAACATGACTATGATCTAAATCTTCAAGGATAAGTGCACATTTGGAACACCACATAGTTGCATCCTTTTAAAAGGTAAATGATCCCATTTTATAGATACAGTAAAGTTGGATACAACAACAATAACTATGCCCAATCCCATACTAACATGAGTTGGCTATATAATCCATCCGAACCATCTGGACCCACTTCATTGCAATAGTCAATAAAGACTCCTGAAAAACACCTAAAGTTGTACCAGCATGACTCTAGGTATTTTGGCATCCTTGTGTTTGTCTTAGCTAAACACACATGCCTACTAAGAGAGGTCTTTTGGACAGCTTCCTAGGTTGTCATTTTCTTAACACATTCAATATTCACCAAAATTTAAATTCAATACGGGGAAAGTTTCCACAAAGGCAGAATTAAGCAAAAGATTATGAATCTAACAGACTCACCGCACATACTAAAATAACAAAATTCTCAAAATGAAAATTGCAGTACCTTAAGGCTCTCAACGACACCAGGAACAACCTCGTGCTCAAGGCCAGCATACTCTCCCTCAGTGTTCTCCCTAATCACAACAATATCCACATCCTCATGCCGCGTAGGCAACCCTGGCAGAGTAAAACAATGCACAATGGAAGCGTACAAATCAAGCTCTTTCCTCATTTGCACATTTAGCGAACTAACACCTCCGCCAACCGGAGTCTTTAACCCTCCTTTCAGACAAACCTTATTCTTCTTAATCGAATCAATTACTTCCTTCGGTATACACTTCATATCACCACGCACTTCGTATCGCTCAAAGTAAACAGGTGCCTTCATCGCCTGCATCACTTGTTCGACTGAATCGGTTACCAGTGGACCGACGCCATCGCCTGGGATCAGCGTGACGGCTCGCGGCGAAGCGCTAGAGGTGAAACAACGATTGGTCGATTGTTGGATGAGTTGTTTTAGGATCGGAAAGGATTTCCGAGCCATAGCTATTTGATTTTGATTTGAGTTGAATTCTTCAGATTGATAATGGCTTTAAGTCGCCATGAAAGGGCAGGGAAGAGAGTAGGCGAAGGAAAAAGGGGAAGAAGAAAAGCAAGTGAACAGGAGTGGTATGGTAGCAATGCGCGCCACATTTTGCGTGAACCGCTGAAGAATAGCTGGTTCATCTGATTCTTCTGACCAAACACCCACCTCATGTACTCATGGTTCATGGACTTCCAATTTCTACATTTAAAATTTTTTTAGAAAAAATCCTAAATTTTTTATATATATATCTTTTTAAATTATTAATTATTATGATCTATAGTATTTTTTTTTTATAATTTTAAAATATATAAATTTCATCTCAAAAGAACGAATTTTTTATGTCTTAAGTCACAATTAAAATTAAATCATTCAATTCCGGAAATTTGAAATGTGACACATAAAATTAGGACATATTAAGTAATTTGAACATTCGAGAACATAATTTAAATCATATTTTTTATTACTATCCTTTGTGAAATCATAAATATAACTTTGCAACTCCTAAAAAATATAAAACTTCATTAGAAGAAAGGGTAAATATGGGGAAAAAAATCACATTCATTTTAAACTTTGAACAATTTAATTATTTTGAACGATGAAAAAAAACCTTCAAAAATTCACTTAATATGAAATGAAGGGGTGGATCACAAGTTTTTTTTTTAAAAAAAAATAAAAAATCATGCACCATTAAAACATTTCATATAAATTAAAATGAAACAAGTACTTAATTGTTTAACATATCACAGCCATTTATTTAGGAAAGTTCAAATTTATCAATATAGTATTTGAAAATTGTTCAAATGTATCTTCCGTTACATTTTTTGTATGTTCATATTCTTTCATATAGTTTTGTATTTACTCTTTGACATTAATAACACTCCAGCCTGAAATATCGACTATTTATGTTCAAATACTTTTTTTTTTTAAAAAAAAGTTAAAATCTATCTCTCAACTTTTGATTTGATTATGATTTAGAGTGACTACATCTTAAAATTAAGTAGAGCTAGTAAATTGAGTTTCTTTGATGAAAAAGTAGTTGTTGATTGAGCGTTAATTGCCCCTGCTAGTTGGGTCACAAAACCTTTTGCTTGACCCATTAGATTCACGGCCCAAAGAACAACTTTTTTAGCAACGTTGACGCTTCGGACACCATATATTAGCCAATAATATGTTAAATGAACAATAATGTATAACTCAATTGAAGAAAAAAAAAACACTAATGTGATTGAAAATCAATGTCTGATAATTCAGAGGCGAAGTTAGAAGATTAGATATGGATTTAGTTGAACTCTGTATCTTTTGTTCAAACAATACATTTGTATTAAGAAATTTATTAAATACGTCTAACTAGTGAATTTGGCCGCGCTATGCGCGTTTTGAAATATTTTATATAAATTTTATTAAATATTTTCAATAGAATTTGCGCACAAATCGATCTTCCAATTCAATTATTTTTTATCACTTAAAAGTTTTTAATCTTCTATAAATACTCGTGTAGTGTACTTATAAGTGAAGGAAAAAAATATTCTTAATAGGAAGTAAAGAAAGAAAAAAAATTCAAGAAATTTTGTATATGTTATAAGTGAAGAAAAAAATAATTATTTTTCTTAATAGGAAGTAAAGAAAGAAAAGAATTTCAAGAAATATATATATATATATATATATATATATATAATCTTTTTGAAACCTATTTTTTTAAAAGAAAAGGAACCATAAATACATATATAGATATACTTAAAAAACAAAAGAACCACAAAGTGCATTGTCTATATCGATTTTCCAAACATTGAGATTAAATGAATCATA